TATTTACGAAAATTTATAGTTTCCGAAGTTGTTCTCCTTTTTTAAGTTTATTAAAATGTAAGGCTTCACCTAGATTAATTACTGCAAACAGTGAACCATGCTACGTTAATAATAGAAGTGGCCTGACGAAAGTTCAAACATTTATATCATAGGCATACTAGATCGGCTTATCTTTCGTTTCCAGAATTAGAATAAGCCCCTCTGCACTCATTGAATGGGTACATTTTGGGCCATAAGGAATTTAAAACGTCGAAAGCTGGGAAAGGTTGAAAATCGTTTGCAAACCGGCAATAACACATGCCAGCAACCTTTGAAATAATAACTATTAACAAAAATAGATATGCAGTTTGAAAGGAAAATAAAAAGTAATCATAGTTTCATATACCGTCATCAGGTAGAATTTTAACAATACTATTTGCTTTAAATTACAATAGCTTTCTTTTTAGCGTTGAGGAAATTCCCATCAGATAATGCAGCAGAGCAGGAAGCGTGCATGCCTAGCTCTTGATGTTCATGTGCTCGCCAAATATGCTTTTGAAATTTTCTAGGGAAAATTTCTTCCTATATATTTTGTGTATTTGAATACAATTAGTGTCAGTTTTTCTTTTAAGTTTCGGATATTTCTTCACTATTTTCTACGTTTTTTAAGCTTTTTCCATAAATGCACACGCTCTTTGGATTGTATTAAAATAAGATATTTCTTAGAATGATTTACCAAAATTTTACCTCTTGAATATTAGCTCCCCTGATGATGGTCATGCGGACCATTTTGGTAAACTACCCAAAACATCAAAAGGCATAGTCAAGCAAAACGAGTGTCCACAACAAAAGTCTCATATTGTTGTGGCTTACATCAATTGGAAAATTGCCTCTCTAAAATACCCTTCAACTAAATATTCAGCTGAAGAATATTTCTAGGTGTCACCTTTTTACAAGGTAGCACGACAAATTTGACCAATTTCATATTTACCTGAAAAAAAATGCTTTGGGTTTAGAAAATATAAAAAAATCTACCTGTAAGCTTTATGCTGAAGCTTTTTTCACCATATTTGAATACTTTTATGCACCGCTCCAAGGTTCCAAATGCAATAAACAGTGGCTAAATATAACCCAAACGTTTTTCAGAAACTGCAAATCTTCTGTGTGCTCCGTTTCTCAATTACGCATTAGCAGAAAGTATATGGCACCAAACTGTTTCTTGTAACATTTAACGACATCGTTTTTTATCTTCATGTACGTGATACAATATATTTATTTTGCTTACCGCCGCAAATCTTCGTTGCGTAAAAAGAAACTAGGGCTGATTTTATTACTTCATTTGGTGATTAAAATGTTTTAGACATCGCAATAACTAACTTCTAAATTGGCTTTTTTTCCTTAAGCTTGCTGTACCGGATTTTATCAATTAAAAGCTAGATTTGCCGGTTATGGGGGCATGAGTTTTGAACTCTTCTTGCTTTTACGCGTGTTCTCCCATAGCCAAAAGCACAAAAAAACAAAGATTTGATTCCGTCACACTAACTAGAATATAAAATCTCTGAAATATCAGGCAACCTCTGATTTCGTCAAATGTCCGCTAGTTTCACCTAAATAGACTGACTTAAAAATGCCGTTTTCTTTACAAGTAAGCTTTCTCAGGATTAAAGCCATTCATGAGATCAAAATAACGAGCCCGTATATATGCTGAAATGCCAAGTTCAATTTCGATCATGATTAAGTTCCTCTACTCTAACTATAGATGTATGCATGACTTACCTGTAATATCGGTAAGATTACCAGTAGATGCGGTAGATCTGCAAGTGCTTTGTTATTTCAATGCCTCCTATTCTAGCCTTTCCACAAATATTTTTTAGCAAAACGGAGGACAATTGCAAAATAGTTTGATCTCAGTAACTTATTCGAATCCAGAACTGTTGTGACTGTCATCAGAAGTAAAAGACAGGGGAAGTCAGCTCACCACGGAAGCAGCAGCAGGTCTTTAATGGGAGGCCTGAATAGGTAATGGGCAACAGTAGTTTGTGTCGTGCACCTAATTAATCCCTAGGCCCAGCATTTTTTCCTACGAAATCACTGGTAATAGGGTTTTATGGGTGGGAAGTTGAGATTAGAAGTGGAATACAATTAAATAATTGTTATATGCATTTTTATCTTATTTTATTTAGAAATGACGTTGGTTCCTATGTGTAGATCTTCCTAATCTGTATTATCGCTTGACGTATTGCGGAAAAATACGAATGCAGGTTTCTTGATCTTCATAAAAAATGTTTATTATAAGGTCGTCTACTCCAACTTACTTGCGGTCCAACCAACCGTTTAGAGTTAGATTAGTGCAGTCCACTCCGCTAACCACTGCACACACCTTCAACTTACGTGCGGCACAACGTACTCCCAGCCGCCTCGGAAAACATATTTAACTACATTATTTCACTTTGCGTTTCTAAAATTTTCCTTCCCTGCCTATCCTACTTCTCCATCCCCAGAAACCCTATTATCACCGTAGGACAAAATGCTGCCACTGGTGGTGCATGGGGTGCACACCATAAACTAATTTTACCGATTGGTGTTTCCTGTTTGCTTTAAAGTATCCAACTCCCTATTTAAAAAATGATATTAATGGCAAGGGGGTGTTTTTTCCAGTTTATAGGTAGATGGATGATTGAGGTGGACATCGGCAAGCAACAGTTTCCCAGTACTCTGTAATACTGACGAGAGTGTTTAAGAGATTTGTCTGGTGCGTGGGGAGATATGCAAATCATAACAAGCAAAAAATGCCATAGGGGAATGCCCACCCTGGTGCATCACTGAGTACAGTAGACGCCGTTGATCATGCAATATTTCGACATATGCGAAAGCCTAATACTCTTTCGCTAATCGGAATTGACTCCAGTTGTGATAGTGATTATCGTGTAGTGTATTCTGAATTCATTTTAGTCAGCATAGGAAGCCGGCTTTTTAGCGAGCTTCATTCCGACTCCTAGCAAAACGTATCTATTGTAAAAACTGACTACTTAAGTCTTCGTGCCGACTCCTAGCAAAACGTATATATTGTAAAAACTGACTACTTAAGTAGTATAGCTCCTACGAAAACGTATCTATTGTAAAAACTGACTACTTAAGTAGTATGCCTTTTTATCATATTGTAAAAACTGACAACTTAAGTAGTATGCCTTTTTATCATTGATTTTGACAACTTTATAAATTCAAATATATTTTATGGAAAACATGCACGAAAAAATTATTTCTTTTTATAAATTCAAATATATTTTATGGAAAACGTGCACGAGAAAATTATTTTTGGTACTTTTTCGATATCAAATTATGCGTTCTTTAAATTTTATACTCAAAGAAAGGGTAGCTTTCGGTTCATGTTTGATAGCAAATTACGCCTTCTTTAAATGTTATACTTGAAGGAAGGGTAGCTTTCGGTTCAAAAAGTTGCCCCGTTGCCGAACAATTTTCTAAACGAATGAATGCTACACTCGAATTCAAGGTTTA